TGCTTTAGCCATGGCTACACGGAATGTAAGCCAAGACAACAGTATGGACATGACAAAAAAAGTGCGTGTTTGGAACACCATTGATATCTGAATTTGGCGCTCGAAAATTTACCGTCGGGACCGGTGCGAGCAAAACTTGATTTTTTAGTCGCCCCGAATTTTAATATTTTACTAGCCTGGCGATTGGGCGAGTGCTAATTGCGAAGACGTCATTAAAATATATATTGATGTAGATCTATCTGAATAATCAGAGACTTTAATAGAATTAATTTAAATTGAATTAGATTTTATTGAAATACATGTATTCGATTCACAACTTGAAGGTGGCTTAATATGAAAAAGATCTATCCATGAAAAAGAAATCAGATGTGACCTGATAAGAAAACGTCTATACGAAAAAAAATAGTCTTTTGTTATCTTGAGTAAGGTCAGTATCTATATAATGATGTTATTTAAGGGATCGATGATCTGTCTTTCCCTTTTAGAAAGATGACAAGAGTTAATGAGTATGATAGAGTATTTCTAAGGGAAGAGTTAAGTGTTGAACAGCTCTATATAATTCATAGTTTAATAAATATAATTAAGAGGATTTTATTTTTTCAAGTAGAGTACGAATCTTTAGACGGACCATATGCAACATTATGCCAAGACTCTTACAAATTATACATTAGAATTAGACAATAAAAGTATTTTTGTTTCACCAACTTTTTACAAAAACACTCTTTGCCAAAAACAGCTTTTGAGACAATTACGGAAATGTCCAAGTTTCAACTAGAAATGGTAGGCTTTTCTATATGTTACGAGACTTCCTATGTTCCTACATCTTGAATTTAGGAGATATAGAGATCTATTCAGTTGTATTATTGAATTGGATAAGTTTTTAGCATTAAATTGAATTCATTATCTTGCGTGACTTCTCTTAAGAAATGTCCGCTCGTCTTTGTATAGTAATACACTACTTATATTATATAGTCTAACAGCTAAAGAGAAGATAGTAGGCTGGTACCGATACTGGGCCAAAAACTTGTCAGAGGATTTCACTATAATGAACTGATGAGAGATATTGTCCAAATTCAGTACCAGTGAGATTGTAGCTTGGTCTGTTTACAACGACAACAAGTCAAGATTTTATTACTTTCATTCATCATGTTTGTGCAAAAACTTTTAATAAATGTAGCCCAAGCGCTTTCTCAAATGTAATAAGCACATAAATTTGAGAACGCATTAAGTAAAGAAAAGATTTCCGTTAGAATGACCCAAAAAACCCACGAAAAAACAATAATTATTTGTATTTTTAGCCGTTTGTTGTGACACTGTCTATGAAGTAATTAGTCTTGAATGGAAAGGTCTGTGTAACACTAAGATGTAAAATTCGTAATCATATGAGACAAGAAAAAGCACAAAGTGCTGAAGGTACCTCATTCAAAGTTGTTGTTCATTCTGATGAATCTACTGGGAGCATTCATTGCCATAATAATGCCTGGATCTAAGGCTTTTATGCTTTAAATGATCAAAGAACGGTAATTAATACCGTATTCTAACACGTTCAAGTTGTTATTCTACTCAAAATAAATTTTTTAATATTTTTTTTCCCCTTTCTGTAAAATGTAACATATTTGAATGTGACTGAAGTTTAATAATCCATTAGTACCACGAACAGAATTTTTTAAGGCATATTTCTTAAGTTATTATAGTTCTGCATATATTTCAGTTCTTGTTAGTTATAGGATGCTCTAAGCCTAAAGGATTCTTAGTGTTGCCTATAGCTGCCAGCATACATTAAATGGTAGAGAAGAGGGTTCCTGATGTAAGTTTTAAGTTAATAAACCCCTAATTTCATCTTACAGAAAATGAAGTCACAATTTAAAAGCCATTCTTCACCATTTCCTTTATCCAAACAGTTAACATAATCCAGGTGAAGCAAGCCCTTTTGGAGGCTCTACCATACTTGTTCTAATTGAACTGCATAATAGCTAAATAGGCTTCTATAGTTATATTTTATTGTAGAATGAATATTCTTTGAAATTATTCACAATAAAGTTGTGTGATTTCTGGCAATCCAGTAACATAGAGCACAGTGGATGTAAATGTAGTGTTAAATTTAGTGTATATTTAACTACAGTCTAGTGTATAATTTACTTATAGGATGGGGTGAAACATGCCAACACACAAAAGACATTGAGCCATGTACCTAGTGAGCTTAGGGCAGAAGAGGCAGAAGAAGTTGGTGTTGAAACATCTGCTGCAGGTACTGAGTATTTAACCGGCAGAACTGTCAGTTATATATAGTCTGTTGAAAACAAAAGCATTAGAGTCATATGGTGAATTTCAAGCTGGTGGAGTAAGACCTCAGGTGCGTCTTCCTTGATTACTTCAGCACAATTGGGCACCTGAAGTATAAGACCTGTACGGATGAATCTTAAACTAGCAGTGATAGGCTTCTCACAGAAAGAATTCAATAATTCTGCTATTTTGTCTTGTTGATCAATGTGAAAATTTTATGCGCCCGTTTGTATTATGGGAACGCCCCTGGCGGGCGGCGTCCAATTGGAACGCCCCTGGCGGGCGGCGTCCAATTTTGTCCGGAGCATATCTCCTACATGTATGGAGGGATTTTAATGAAACTTCATAGAAATGTTCACCACTATGAGGAGCAGTGTCGCGCACAAAAGAACCAGGTCTCTAGGTCAAAGGTCAAGGTCACACTTAGAGCTCATTGAAAAATGCTTGTCCGGAGCAAAACTTCCACATGTTATAGAGGGATTTCAAATATTACTTGGCACAAAATGTTCACCATTGTGAGGCGGAGTGTCGCGCGCAAGATTCAGGTCCTTGCGGCCAAAGGTCAAGGTCACACATAGAGGTCAAAGTTCAGATAAAAATTATGAAGATGTGTTTATGGACCCATTTAGTCATCATTTATTGAGGGATGTGTAACCAAATGGTCATATTATCAGAGACTATGGCTGTGATACATATAATTTAGGTCAATCATATACAAGGTCAAGGTCAACTAAAGATGATGAAATAGTCCAGATTTTGTCCGGAGCATATCTCCATACACGCATGGAGGGATTTTAATGAAAATTTCATAGAAATGTTCACCATATATGAAAGCCATGTCACGCACATGAACTAGGTCTCTAGGTCAAAGGTCAAGGTCACACTTAGAGCTCATTGAAAAACGCTTGTCCGGAGCAAAACTTCACATGCATAGAGGATTTCAAAATATAACTTGGCACAAATGTTCACCATTGTGAGGCGGAGTGTCGCGCACAAAATTCAGGTCCCTGCAGCTAAGGTCAAGGTCACACATAGAGGTCAAAGTTTAGATAAAAATATGAAGATGTGTATAAGGGACGATTTAATCATCATTTATTGAGGGATTGTAACACAAATGGTCATTATCATGACTACAGCTGTGACACATGTACTTTAGGTCAATATATGCAAAGTCAAGGTCACTAAAGATGGTGAAATATCCAGATTTTGTCTGGAGCATATCTCCTACATGTATGAAAAATTTTTATAATACTTTATGGAAATGTTCACCACCATGATATGTATTGCTCCATGCATGATCCAGGTCTCCAGGTCAAAGGTCAAGTCACACTTAGAGCTCATTGAAAAACGCTTGTCCGGAGCAAAACTTCTACATTCATAGGGGGATTTCAATATAACTTGGCACAAATGTTCACCATTGTGAGGCTGAGTGTTGCACGCAAAATTCAGATCCCTGCGACCAAAGTCAAGGTTACACATAGAGGTCAAAGTTCAGATAGAATTTGAAGATGTGTATAGGGACCATTTAGTCATCATTTATTGATGGATTTGTAGCACAAATGGTAACTATCATGACTACAGGTGTGACACATTTAATTTAGGTTAATATTTGCAAGGTCAAGGTCACTGGGGATGATTAAATATCCAGATGTTGTCCGGAGCATATTTTCTACATGCATGGAGGAATTTTTAATGTTTACTTTATAGAATTGTTCACACCATGAGACGTAGTGCCCTGCACATGAACCAAGTCTCTAGGTCAAAGGTGAAGGTCACAGTTAGAGCTCATAGAAAAACGCTTGTCTGGAGCAAAACTTCTACATGCATAGAGGGATTTCAATATAATTTGGCACAAATGTTCATCATTGTGAGGCTGAGTGCCGTGCATAAAATTCAGGTCCCTGCGACCAAGGTCAAGGTCACACATCCTGTGCATATTTTCCCTACTGATTTGTTTTAAGGTTCATTTAACAACACAGTGCCAAGAATAAAAACTTGCTTGCTAGATAACACTTATCCATAATGCCCCCATCTCCATCTAAAGCTTTCGTAAACGGGCGTATTTTGTGACTATGGCACCCTTGTTTGATATTGAAAACAATGTAAATAAATGAAACAAAAGACAACTGTGATAAGGTTGTAGCAGTCCCTTTGTTTTTAATAGTTTTAACACAAGTTTGTGAAAGTTTACCAATGTAATTTTTTTAGTGATAGCATTCATGTAAGATTTAAAAACTTTGCTCAAATTGCTCTATAGGCTGTCAAGTGGACAACAACATAAAGAGTACTTACCTTCGTTGTAGTTTCTTGTCCCATTATATTATGTGCTATGTTAAATTGTCATCAGAAATGCTACTTTATTTAGCATATACATGACAGACATATATTTTGTATGTAAACTAAATTAGATTTTTTTTACTGCTGTTCAGTTACAATAGACATCGATTAATTTACATCACGGTGGTGACTATAATTTTGATCTACATATACTGATGAGCCCCAGCTTCTGTTTTTTTAGTCAGTCACTTAATAGATAAGTTCTGAATATTGCTGGAAATATAAAATCACAGAGAGTGATGATCAAATCCTTGACTGTTCATATATCTCTTAAATGGAATGTGAATAGTAAGTGTCTCAATAAAGTTAAACCCTGCAATCAACCTTGTGTGGATTAAGTTTATAAATTCTTGTCCTTAAATGTTATCTAATATTTTTTCACGTTTTTTTTTTTTACCAGGGATATCAAGGATACTACAGTTGGCACACTATCTCAACGTATCACAAGTCAACTGATGGGACTGAAAGGTCTACACGCTCATGCCCAGGATATAAATAGCTACCTACAGAAAGTCTCGTCGGGACAATTACCTATAAATCATCAGATAATTTACCAGCTGCAGGACGTGTTCAATCTACTCCCCGATGTTAACCTCCAACAGTTTGTGAAAGCTATGTACGTTAAAACGAACGATCAAATGTTAGTGGTATATCTGGCGTCATTAATAAGATCTGTCATAGCTTTACATAACCTTATAAACAATAAGATTCAAAATAGAGATGCTGAAAAGAATGAAGGAAAAGATATTACTAAGGAGAAGAAAGAAAAGAAAGACGAGAAAGAGAAAGAATCAGGAAAAGATGGTGAAAAGAAAGATAAGGAAAAGGTGAAGGATGCAAAGAAAAAATGAACTGACCTATAGGACTGACTTATTTAATATTGTAACAGTTTCAGAGGCATATCTGCACTATACTTAAACTTTCTTGATAAAAAAACAACATTTTTCAAAAGGTTGTAGTAAAACTACACTTTCTTTCTGTTTGTTTTTAAAACTTCACAAGTTATCAGATTTTGAAAGCATTTATAACTGTCAAACCTGATGTAATGTTGAAGATGAAAAATGAATTGTAATATGTAAAATAGTGCTAAACATTGTTATAGCTTTCATTTATAACAAAATAAAATTGATTCATACATTTAAATTACTTGTTCCCTTGTTAAAAATGTACTGACATAAAACCGCACTATCAAACAATAAGCACCTTCTTGTTTTAGGGGTATCAGTGGCCGAGTGGTTAAGGTTGTTTACTTTAAACCTCTTGCCTTGAGCCAAGTGTCTTCAGATTTTTTATGTGAGAAAGATATCGAACCAGCTTATGGAACGTCAGAGGTTCTACTTCTGTGCTTGTTTATGCCTACAATAATGTAAAGATGAGCACCTGAGGTCTTCCTCCACCAGTAAAGCTGGAAAGTCGCCATATTAATTATTATGACCTATACCATGTTAGTGTGATGTTAAACCCACAAAAAAAACTTATATTCAATCTTCTATGAAAGATTTTGAAATTATCTGCAAAAAAAAATGAATACATTGTTTTTAAAACTGTCAAACTTTCATTAAATTTATAATTCCAAACCAGTAAGTTACATAATAGTATAATATCATTATTATTGACACTAAAAGCTAGAACCCAAGGTTTCTAATATTGTAAAAGTTGATCAATGCTTGAAATTTCTCAGACAGGCATTTGAGTTTATAACATAGATATTGAAAGTCCTTTTTATGCAGGCTATAAATGTGTCATTTTATGTTTCAATACAGTGTAAGTTGGAGCCAGCCATGCTCTTCATCATGTCTCAGACAGTCGCTGTTGAGGTTTTCATCGTGTATGATACATGGTGGATGATATAAAGCAGCTTCTAAATGGCAGTCTTTACCAGTTCATACAAATGCTTGCAATCAAATTTCGCAGCTTAAATTTAGGTCAAAATTTCAAGAACAATTTACTTAAAACATAAGGAGACTTTTATCCTGGAAAAGGTCATTGATGCCTAAAAGGAAATGGTGTAAACCAATGAACCTTCCCAATAGTGGGCAGAACTCGGTGTTGATAAATGCATTTATTGAATGCCGCCCTTCCATGTTGATCTTTGTTTTTAATTCTATGAATTCTGCTTTTATAAATGAAGCCTTTCCATTAGGTTTCAAAATTCCACTTATTCACTCAGAAAACTTACATGATTACCTTTGTAACCAGGGAAATTCAATAAACTTTTTGAGAAAACCGTGTTTTTTGAATATCAACGAAAAAAGATCCATTCTTTATGTATACATAAATATGCAAGGGAGGTTATTTGGTGGAATTTTATATTTAAAGAAAAACTAGTTGTGTTTCATGTCTTACTAAGTTTGTGCGAGTCTCAAAACTTTGGTTTCTTGAAAAAGAAACAGTTTTCATTTGTTTGTACAAAAGGCACATTTCAGTCAACAATTCAGGGCTTTTTTTCCTTCTATAGCAGGGGCCGGTATAGGGCTGCTTCCCCAAAGAAAAATTCTTTAAAATCATGCAGTTTTCCCCAAAAATTGAATTTACATCAAGTTTTTTCTTCCCCTTTTGCAAATATACCGTGTATTTTTTCCCCAAAATTAAGGGCTGGGCTGCTTTCCCAACCTGTGAAAAAAAGCCCTGCAATTGTATATACATGGCAAATTGTTGAATTTCATTAATTTTATATTTGATGTAAATCAGTGTAAAAATACACGCAACATAACCACAAAATAAAGTATCCCATATAAGAAATTTCACATGTGGCACAATCTTTTTTCTTGGCACTGTTTTAAAATAATTAATACCACCAATTTCGGGAGAGTAAGCTAGCTTTTAAAGTATTTTAAAAGGTCAATCGCATTTTACAAAGTTATATAGCCATACAAGAAATAAAACTTTAGAAGCTATGACTGAGCAACACCACTTGTTCAAAACTGATCAACATTAATTTTACACGATCATAAAAATTTAGACTGGGTATGTATTCATGCTACTGGACACCATTTTGTAACTGGATAATGGTGGGAGGTGGATTGGAGGTGTTTGCAATGTAAAGTAATGAAATGTAAAATCAAGTATTCTTTAAAAAAAACAAATTTATAATGGTAATCTCACTACATCCTGGAAGATCTACATGTAGTTAAACTAAATTAAAGTCGTACTTAGACAGGCTTTTACACATAGAATAAAACCCAAGCTATGTTGGAACATCTTGAAAGATTATATACTTGTATTCAAGTAATATTTTGATCTTGAAATCCCTTTGTTAACAATGGGCAGCAATATAGTCACATTAGAACGAGTTTGGTTGAAAATGCTTTATGAATTTCTAAATGTGTCTTAAGGTAAATCTGAATGTATAAGAGGCGTATCCCAGAACACAGATGCCTGCACATTCCACTGTTTTGTCAATCAAAGACAAATGCTTTGATAGCAGGATTGACAGACATGATGAAATCTAAATGCCTCTTCTACCCACACTTAAGTGGGTGCACTAAATCAATGTAGCAAAAAATTGTATATTATATTTATAATTCCCTAAATTCCTTCCCATAAATCTATAATATCAGATCAAGTCACTCTATAAAGGTACATGTATACACAGATAATAAAAGTCAAGATTGTTTCTGAAAATGATTTAATAATATTCTTATAAATAGCACAAAAATGTAAAATCGAAATAATTTATTTATAATTCATTCACTTTTAAAAATGTAAAAACTGAAATAATTTCTTTATAGTTTATTCACTTTTTATATTGCCTATCTCTTGATAGCTTAAGAAGGCATTGATAATAAATAAGTTAGTTACAGCAAATTTTCAGACTTTAAGTTGGTATAATTAGGATTACATCTTTGTATAAATGTATTTCATTTGCAGGGTACAAAATAAGACAATTTGACTAATCTGTTGCACGGGTGTTCATATTATACAGATTCTATTAAAGCAACATATATTTGATCACTAAAGGCCCAATATGCCCCAGAAATGCTTCAGGTTTACCATATTGTTTCCAATTAAAGCCCCCTCTCTAATTAGCACCCCCTCACCACATTTTGTAGGGAAAAAACTCTTACCGTATAGATTTATAATCCATAATGAAAGAACAAACCAAAAAATCCAAATCTTTTTATTTAAAAAGAACAATAAATTACACTCTAGTAATGTAAAATCATTAAAAGAGTATAATCCTGTAATATATATTTTAGATCATAATAATGAATAATGATTTCTATAATTGAATTATATCTTTGATAGACATATTTTAAAGAAAATTTTATAGTTCTAATTAGCATTCCCCTTTTGAAAAAAAAATGCACCCCCCCCCCCCCCCGCATTAAATAGAGACAATATGGTATTTCTCAAAGTTTTTTTATATATCTGGTGTGCTTTAAACAGTTCCCAAAATGTTACAATTGGCCAATTTTCTTAACCATTTTCCTTCTGTTCCTTTTTGACAATGAGTAGAGTTATAGTGATTAAGCATATTGTATGGAAGTCAAAATACTACTTTATTTACATTTTACTACTTTAATCACAACTAATTCTAGATTTAGTGCTTCTTTCTTCAGGTTACAAGCACCTCACTTGCTCCTAAACCATTATTTAAACATTATAAAACGCATGCTTGCACTTTCTAAAGAAGTAAAAATTTATTCATTTCTGAGGTATAATGTGCCTTTGCTGCAATCAAAAATAACACCTCTGATATTTTTGGTTACGCTCTATGTTGAGGTATGACCTGCCTGATATTTTGTACCTTCACAAACCAAACAAGAGGGCCATGATGGCCCTGAGGTCGCTCACCTGTATATAGGCCCCCCACCCCCCACCCCCCCCCCAACGTTGCAGGGCCAATTTAACCCAGGGGATTTTATTGCACAAACTTGGTAGACACCCATAAGAAAATGTTTCATGCTAAACATCTAAGCTCTAGCTCATTGGGCTTTTTAAAAGAAGATTTTTTTAAAGTTTTTACTATACACATATAGTTAAAAACAATGACACCCCTGGGGCGGGGCCAGTTTTGACCCCAGGTCTTTTATTTGAACGAACTTTGTAGACACTCACCAAAAGATGTTTCATGCTTAATATCTTAACTCTAGCTATTTGGGTTTTTTCAAAGAAGATTTTTTAAGTTTTTGCTATACACATATAAGGAAAATCAATGACCCCCGGGGCGGTGCCAATATTGACCCGAGGGCTTTTATTTGAACAAACTTGGTAGACACCTATTAGAACATGTTTGATGCTAAATGTCTTAGCCATAGCTCTATGAGTTCTTTAAAAGAAGATTTTTAAGTTTTTACTATATGCATAAAGGGAAAATCAATGACCCCCGGGCGGGGCCAATTTTGACCCCACAGCTTTTATTTGAACAAACTTGGTAGACACTTATTAGAACATGTTTCATGCTAAATATCTTAGCTCTAGCTCTTTGGGTTCTTTAAAAGAAGATTTTTTAAGTTTTTACTATATGCATATAGGGAAAATCAATGACCCCCTGGGGCGGGGCCAATTTTGACCCCAGGGCTTTTATTTGAACAAACTTGGTAGACACCTATTAGAACATGTTTGATGCTCAATATCTTAGCCATAGCTCTTTGAGTTCTTTAAAAGAAGATTTTTTTTTTTTTACTATATGCATAAAGGGGAAATCAATGACCCCCTGGGGCGGGGCCAATTTTGACCCCAGGGCTTTTATTTGAACAAACTTGGTAGACACCTATTAGAGAATGTTTGATGCTCAATATCTTAGCCATAGCTCTTTGAGTTCTTTAAAAGAAGATTTTTTTAAGTTTTAACTATATGCATATGGGGAAAATCAATGACCCCCCGGGGCGGGGCCAATTTTGACCCCAGGGCTTTTATTTGAACAAACTTGGTAGACACCCATTAGAACATGTTTCATGCTAAATATCTTAGCTCTAGCTCTTTAGGTTCTTTAAAAGAAAATTTTTTAAGTTTTTACAATATGCATATAGGGAAAATCAATGACCCCCCCCCCCCGGGGCTGGGCCAAATTTGACCCCAGGGCTTTTATTTGAACAAACTTGGTAGACACCTATTAGAACATGTTTCATGCTAAATATCTGAGCTCTAGCTCTTTGGGTTCTTTAAAAGAAGATTTTTTAAGTTTTTACTATATGCATATAGGGAAAATCAATGACCCCCCGGGGCGGAGCCAATTTTGACCACAGGGCTTTTATTTGAACAAACTTGGTAGACACCAATTAGAACATGTTTGATGCTAAATATCTTAGCCATAGCTCTTAGGGTTCTTTAAAAGAAGATTTTTTAAGTTTTTACTATATGCATATAGGGAAAATCAATGACCCCCCGGGGCGGGGCCAATTTTGACCCCAGGGCTTTTATTTGAACAAACTTAGTAGACACCCATTAGAACATGTTTCATGCTAAATATCTTAGCTCTAGCTCTTTGGGTTCTTTAAAAGAAAATTTTTTAAGTTTTTACTACATGCATATAGGGAAAATCAATGACCCCCCGGGGCAGGGCCAATTTGGACCCCAGGGCTTTTATTTGAACAAACTTGGTAGACACTCACTAGAAGATGTTTCATGCCAAATATCTAAGCTCTAGCTCTTATGGTTTTTTAAAAGAAGATATTTAAAGTTTTTTCTTTCGGTTGCCATGGCAACCAGAGTTCTGCATGGAATTAAATTCTTTGAACAATTTTTAAAGGTGACCACCAAAGGAACATTCCTGTGAAGTTTGGATGAAATTGGCTCAGTGGTTTATGAGGAGATGTCATTTAAAGTAAAAGTTTACGGACGGACGACGGACGGACGGATGCCGGACGAAAAGCGATCACAAAAGCTCACCCTGTCACTTTATGACAGGTGAGCTAAAAATAGATGACCAATAGCTCCAAAAAGAGCTGACAGCAGAGGAGACAGTATGCTCAACTAATAAAATACATGTACTGGACACAGAAAAAAAAGACAGATCTATGAAAGTAGAGAGTAATGAACCTTCTCATCATGTTAGAGATGACCAGGAACAACTACCTTAAGTCTCAAATAGATACCATTATGAAGATAAAAGTATAAAGAAATACATGTATATAAAAAGTTCTTAATCCAAAACATTATCTGACATTATCACATATTGAATATATTGGCGCTAGAGTTATGAACCTTGCCACATATTTGGATGATACAGAACATGTATTGTAAGTTTAAATTAAATCCTTTAAGAGATAAAGCAGTTCGAGCTGGAAAAATATTTCACTAACTAATCAGTTTCGGGTAAGAGTAAAAATTTTTTACTGCGCAAAAACTTTATCAGAAATCTGTAGCAGATGGGGATGCTGAGTTAAGCAGTGCAGCTCTTCATATAGTGTGTATAAACAATCTTGAAATTGAAATCAAGAAAGTCCATATTGAAATTTCACAGGATCAACATCTCACAATATTTGTTAGTGCCAGCACTATCACTAAAATATAACGGCCCCTTAATTATCAAGAATCTACTCCACATGCCCCCGACTCGGTTATGTCATCTTCCTCCACATCAATTCTATCTGTACTCCCTGTCTCTCGTAAAAATCTCTCCCTGAAAATACATCAACTTTTGATAAATGAGCCGCGCCATGACAAAACAAACATAATGGGTTTGCGACCAGCATGGATCCAGACCAGCCTGCGCATCCACGCAGTCTGATCAGGATCCATGCTGTTCGCTATCAGTTTCTCTACTTGTAATAGAGTTGGTAAGCGAACAGCATGGATCCTGATCTGACTGCGCGAATGCGCAGGCTGGTCTGGATCCATGCTGGTCGCAAACCCATTATGTTGGTTTCGTTGTGGCGTGGCTCAAATAACTTCAGAAATTTATGATCCTGAACAAAAAAGTTACTCATTTTTTCAAATTATTAAACAGTTCTTTTGTTATTAATATATATTTAACTACTTGTAAATTCATTTCTGTTTTTTAAATAAATGCATAATACACAGTATGCTAAATAATCTTACTTTTACCACTTTAACAAAACTATGAATTTCTAATTGCAAAATTCAAAACAAATTAAATACCACACTATGTTACTTATTCTGGATGTTCCCTTATTTCAAAACACATTTTTACACAGCATGAGTATTTAAAAAGAAATGACAAAATAATCTGATCAAATGCTTCTTATTTAAATATAGGTAAGTAAAAGTTTGTATATATGTAAGTAAAATGAAGTTTATATGTACCAGTATACAGGAAACATATCCCTCACTTCTTCTGGTGATAATTTATTGTCATCTACTTCACGAAGAACCCACTTCAAACAACTTGTTCCCAGTTCCTGTTGCACAAAAATATGTTTGATATTTATAATTGAATTATAGAGCAATGACCTTGCTTAACCACTAGGATAAAATTTTCAGTTAAGAACTTTGCTTGCCCAATCAGGAAAATGTATCTTTGTTCACATACCATCATACAAAACCAGCAGTGATATTTTTCTTTAATAAAATACAGCAACATACAGTCATACAGCAACTTTCCACAGTTTTACTGGTAAAAGATGACCTTAAATACCAAGTTTCAAGTTTAATGGCAAATCGACAATGAACATTTCATACCAAAAAAGAGGACAATTAAAATATTACATTACATTGCAAAAATTACATTCAATCACATCAAATCAGTTTTTCCTAATATTCAGAGTGAACTGTATTCAACAATAACATCATTTATTTAGTAACTTAGCATAAGAATGCTTTTAGCCATAATATACTATTGACAAAGTAAAAAATGACACAAAATATCATTAGCAATCAAATAATTTTTGCTTAAAGACGCTTACACAATAAAGCATATTGGACTTTAAGTAAATTCAAATATATACTTTATACACTCATTCCACTGTATATTCATTCATTACTATCGAGACAGAAACCACTGTATATTCATTCATTACTATCGAGACAGAAACCACTGTATATTCATTCATTACTATCGAGACAGAAACCACTGTATATTCATTCATTACTATCGAGACAGAAACCACTGTATATTCATTCATTACTATCGAGACAGAAACATATATGCAAACTCACGAATTAAAGTAGATGTGAAGTTACTATTTCACAAACTGAAGCTAAATTGAATTCTTAAGAACGTTTTCGGGAGTTTTCATATAGACATAAAGGCAAAATGAAAACTCTTCAATAGAATTTCTTTAAACTTTACATGTTGTTAAAATATGATAACAGAAACATTTTAAGCGAAAAAAAAAATTGGGGTCAACGTTCTCATTTTTGAAATTCTATTGAACAGTTTTAATTTTGCCTATATATCTATATGAAAACTTGGGAAAACGTCTTTAAATACTGGAACAAAACAGCAGGCAACATCAGTTTAGGAAAGATGACATACCTTCCATGCTGTTGTGGTAGCATTGTCCAGGTGAAGCCATTTTTGAATCTCTCTGACTCTCTTCTCTATCTAAACAAGAAATTAAAACACTAGATTTAAAAAGCACAGATTTACAAGAAATTAAAGCACAGATTTACTAGAAATTAAAGCACAGATTTACTAGAAATTAAAGCACAGATTTACTAGAAATTAAAGCACAGATTTACTAGAAATTAAAGCACAGATTTACTAGAAATTAAAGCACAGATTCAAAACCTATCAACTTACTATTACATATGTAAGATAAAATGTGACTGGGATCTCTCCTTATAAAGAAAAGTTGTAAATGAAGCAGAGGTCTATTGGTTAAGGTGGCTTTACAACCAAAAGATTATAGGTTTGAGTCTGACTGCAGGCACAACCATGTTTCCTCATAGGACACCAGTATTGGTTAGTTCTAGGAAGTGGAACTGAAAGTGGTTTCGAAAGTGCTATAAGCTTTCTTCTCAGTCAAGCCTAAATAAACAATAATTATTCCTTAACATGCTGGAAATGGGAGATTAGCCTCTGCAAGGTATAGAGCTAGGCCAGTCTGTACATCCATGCAGTCTGACCAGGCTTAATACAGATGCTAGCTCATTTTTTTTGTAAATTTTGATAGTGAAATCCCAAAAAACTTAGACTGTTTATTATCAAAAGCAGGGCATTAAATCCGTTACAGAAATTCAGCATGTTAAGGGTTTAATTGAGAATATGTCTGTTTCAATGGTAACACTGCCTGACATATCCTTGTCTTGCGAGTTCTATCCTCTATTTGATACCCTGCTTCTCAAATTAAGTATTAATAGTCTTTTTCTAAAGAAACTGTTCAACTTTTCATGTAGGAAGAAAGGAATTAGTAATTACATTCTGGAAAATCATTCAAAGTCGCTGAATCTTTCATACTCCTTCAAAAATATATAGCGGACACATTTTATGCTTAACATAATTATAGAAATGTGCTCAATAAAAGACAATATGGGTAACTGCAGGGGAATTGTAATTGAAAGAATTGTGAAAAAATATATATCATTGCTGCTAAATGATTGTATGCTTAACACAACATTTTTTTTCTAAGTGACAACTGATAATCGAGCTACATTTTAAATAAGACTTCTAGAAAATATTGTAATTGTTACCTGATTTGAAGATCTAGTTTTGGAATATTTCATAGGATTTTTGATAGACTGGTTAACTGCTGTCTTAACTTTCTCCCTCACAGCTCTACACATTATATACCTAATATATAGTATAAAATATAAATTAGTAAGATTCATAGGTGTATACATGTCAAATACTAGAACTCCGCGAGTCGGATGTGTCGCCTTGTGAACAATATAGTTTAAGAGAAATGGCAAAGACAAAAATGAAATTTGAAAATCAACAAAGGGCAATAACTCTAAAAAATAAGAAATGCAGATCAGCAGTTTCTGTGCACTGCACTTCTTATCAATAAGATCTATCATCCTATTAAGTTTCAAGTCTAAAGCTTTTATAATTTATGAGAAATGGCCTGGACAAAAATAAAGTATGAAAATTAACAAAGGGCAATAACTCAAAAAATAAGAAATGCAGAGTACCAGTTCTTGTGCACTGCACTTCTTCTTAATGAGATCTATCATCCTAGGAAGTTTCATGTCCATAGCTTTTATACTTTAGGAGAAAAGGCCTGGACAAAAATAAAGTATGAAAATTAACAAAGGGCAATAACTCAAAAAATAAGAAATGCAGGGTACCAGTTCTTGTGCACTGCACTTCTTCTTAATGAGATCTATCATCCTATGAAGTTTCAAGTCCATAGCTTTTATACTTTAGGAGAAATGGCCTGGACAAAAATAAAGTATGAAAATTAACAAAGGGCAATAACTCAAAAAATAAGAAGTACAGAGTACCGATTCTTGTGCACTGCACTTCGGGTCATTATGAGAAGCATGCATACCAAGTTTGAAGTCAATCCGACTTATAATGACTGACTTATGCTTCGGACAAGCTTTAGGGGACGCCGACAACTGCCGACAAAAGTAACCCCTATATGTCGCCTTTTTCAAGGCGACACAATAACTGCCAAAATATGTACTTTTCTTATTCTTATTGTTACATCTAAATAAAGTAAATTTTCTGTTTTTTTCTGAATTTAGGTACTCTGGCATGATTTATACCAGCTCCTGACCAAGTATAGCTGTATTTAGTATTACAGACATACCTGGGAACACCCAAATTTTGGAGAGGCATTATTATACAGGGTGTAAAAATAATATACATGTAATTTAACATTTCCCAATGCATTATTATTACAGGTTGTGAGAATAATATCATATAACATTTATCAGTAACAAGATATGTTTGTAAAACAAGAATGCCCCCTATCAGCAGCCAATTAGTCATGTGAAAAGGTTATTATGCATGACTTCTGACCCAGTGATCAAACAATTAATAAGGGTTATCAAGTATCTACTGGTCATGACCTTAACCTTTGACCCAAAACTCAATAGGGGTCATCTGCTGGTCACGACCAATCATCATACAAAGTTTGAAGTTCCTAGGCCTAAGTGTTTTTAGTTAATTGATCGGAAACCGTTTTAACATACAAGGTCAATGTGACCTTGACCTATGACCCCTTGACCCCAAAATCAATAGGTCATCTGCTGGTCATGACCAATCACCATACCATGTTTGAAGTTCCTAGGCCAAAGGGTTCTTAAGTTATTGATTTGAAAGCATTTTACCTACAAGGTCAATGTGACCTTGCCCTTTGACCCCTTAACCCCAATATCAATAGGGGTCATCTACTGGTCATGACCAATCACCATACCAAGTTTGTAGTTCCTAGGCCTAAGGGTTCTTCAGTTATTGATCGGAAACCGTTTTTACCTAAGAGGTAAATGTGACCTTGACCTTTGACCCCTTGACCCCAAAATCAATAGGGGTCATCTACTGATCATGACCAATCACCATATCAAGTTTGAAGTCCCTAGGCCTAAGGGTTCTTTCGTTATTGATCGGAAACCGTTTTTACCTTCAAAGTCAATGTGACCTTGACCTTTGACCCCTTAACCCCAAAATCAATAGGGGTCATCTGCTGGTCATGACCAATCACCATACCAAGTTTGAAGTTCCTAGGCCTAAGGTTTCTTTCGTTATTGATCGGAAATCGTTTTTACCTACAAGGTCAATGTGACCTTGACCTTTGATCCCTTAACCCCAAAATCAATAGGGGTCATCTGCTGATCATGACCAATCACCATACCAAGTTTGAAGTTCCTAGGCCAAAGGGTTCTTTTGTTAATGATCAGAAACCATTTTTACCCAAGAGGTCAATGTGACCTTGACCTTTGACCCCAAAATCAATAGGGGTCATCTACTGATCATGACCAATCACCATACCAAGTTTGAAGTTCCTAGGCCTTAAAGTTCTTTAGTTATTGATCAGAAACCGTTATTGCTTACAAGGTCAATGTGACCTTGACCTTTGACCCCTTGACCCCAAAATCAATAGGGGTCATCTACTGATCATGACCAATCACCATACCAAGTTTGAAGTTCCTAGGCCTAAAAGTTCTTTAGTTATTGATTGGAAACCGTTTTTGCTTACAAGGTCAATGTGACCTTGACCTTTGACCCCTTGACCCCAAAATCAATAGGGATCATCTACTGATAATGACCAATCACCATACCAAGTTTGAAGTTCCTAGGCCTTAAAGTTCTTTAGTTATTGATCGGAAACCGTTTTTGTTTACAAGGTCAATGTGACCTTGACCTTTGACCCTTTGACCCCAAAATCAATAGGGGTCATCTACTGGTCATGACCAATCACCATACCAAATTTGAAGTTCCTAGGCCTTAAGGTTCTTTAGTTATTGATCGGAAACCGTTTTTGCTTACAAGGTCAATGTGACCTTGACCTTTGACCCCTTGACCCCAAAACCAATAGGGGTCATCTACTGGTCATGACCAATCACCATACCAAGTTTGAAGTTCCTAGGCCTAAGGGTTCTTTAGTTATCACTCGGAAACCATTTGGTCTACAGACCGACGGACCGACAAGTGCAAAGCAATATACCCCCTTTTCTTCGAAATGGGGGCATAATAAATGTATACATTTTTTTATTTCAAAGGTTTTTATTCCATTGTAATAATTAATTTTTTTTTTTTCTTTAAAACAGTATTCAATTATTTTGTATTTTCTGCATTAATTATATATACAGGAGTGACAAATAATATCCTTTCATGTAAATGACTGGAATAGATTCCCTTTTGTTTGTCCTATAAGGTGAGACTGACTTAGAAAATTACAAAGAAGAAAACAAACAAACAAAATACCTTTAATCTTTTCAAAAAACATTTTAATTATTCAATTAACCATGCAAACAATAATTTGCTATTGTATTATGACCTTTGACATACTTCTTTCATTAGGTTATATCATTAATTGGATTCTTTCAAACTGCTAATTATAGCAATAGTAATTCACCCAAACAAGTAACTAATTATGTCTAATTATGAAAAATACAATACAATACATTTATATTGTATTTATAACAACTAACGTGCACAAAAACTTTAAAGTGCAATTAGAACTGGACGAAGTTACAACTATAGAAATTCAATTAATTTTTATCATACTGTTTGAATGCTAAAAACATATAGAAATGGATACTTTACTACAAATGAGTGACAATCTCTTGCTTAAACTAATGACCTATGAAAGAATACTGGATCAAAGATCTAGAATGGGTAAGAACATTTATGTTAAATTCTGCACTTGTTCATTTGAATTTGATTTTTTTTTCTTAAATTCAATTAGTCATTTCATTGTATGGAAATGCGGTGCACAAAATTGCATCAAAAGACATTTGATAGAATACAACAAAGGGACAAATGGTCGAATATGACAAAATATAGAATGGAAATTTGATAGAAAAGAATATAATGTTGAATATTGTCAAAATGATGTCGAATTATGCAAAATAACCTTCAAAAATACAGGAATATAATAAAAGGAAATTAGACGGAAGAAATAGGTGCAGTTGATTCACAATTTATTCAAATTCATTCTGATATATAATGAAATTGTTTTTCAATGTTCGTTATTTTTCAATATATATTCAGTAAGAGGTTCTGATGAGGCCTGATGGAAATAAAAGTTTATTTTTAATAACAAACAAATCTTCTGGTTTTTATCCACCTAGATTAAATTTACACATGTATTTCAGTTCCTCTCATATAAGACCAAACAACAAAACAATTAATATAAAATTTGTCAATAACAAAATGTAATGAAATAAAAAAAACTTTTTTCTTAATGAAACAAAAACTAAAGCGAAAGAAAGCAATTCGGTAACAGCAAAAATAAACATCATTTGAAGTAACTTTGAAATAAACATGTAATAAATGTTAACATACATATTTAGGTAATGTTAACATACGTATTCACGTAATGTTTGAATACCTCTTTAGTTTTAGAACTTGGAACAGTTTCTAAGCAATCTTTGATTCTGTAAAATCAATTTATTTACATTTAACATGTTCAAAAAGTGTTTAAATAAAGTATACAATTTTATTTTCCTATACAGATAATGAGTTGGACAGCTTGTATAAACAATTCAACGAAGCCAACAGAAACGATCTACTACTGGCGAGAATATACACAACAACAGCCACATGTTTACTATACAACAAGTTACGCGAGGAGAAGTGGGACGAAATTCAGCGTCTTTCTGACAACATTACACAGACTGCTGTCAGTATAGGGTACACGGACTACTTCAGTCTCATAGAGCGTCACAATATCCCCACCCAGATTACACCAGATGCTGACGTCGTGACACAGATTTGGGCGGATTCAGAACGTCTGTTCACTCGTAGAGATTGAACTGTTCTATTTTTATGACAGTTTTTATAATGATGTGCTAATGAGAAAGTTATGTGCTAGAACAGTCTTCAAATCTTGTCATTTTAGGTCTTTTATGACAGTTATATAATAACGTGCTAATAGAATAGGAAAGTTATGTGCCAGAATTGTCTCCAACAATTAATAAACTCTTGCCATCCTTAATTTGTACATTGGACTTCCCTTGCTTTAAATATTGAGCAGTCAGTTAGTGCCGAAAGAGATTTGGATATCATTAATGCATGTACATACACTTAAACTGTGTAGCCAATAATCTGGTAAGGTCAGAGAGAACTGATTCAATCTGACTTTATACTGGCAACATAGAAAAGTGATCATCAAGCTGCGATTTTAATGCTACATTAAGCAAAATTATAGTTATACACATATAACATAATGCAAAACATATGAGATATAATTGTGCTATGATAAATGAAATAAACAATCTAAATTTTGTATTGTGTTGTTATAAAAGATTTCCAAAGAGTTTCATTTTACACAGTCAAAATGAATTTAAAACAACAGGAGAACAAAATGCAATGAGTTTTATGCATGCCATTCCATGAAATTGTAACTTCAACCATATAAAGAAGAAGAAAAATCTTAGTCAAAATGTAAATAGACTAACTCCAAAATAAAAAATATTTGGGTTTTTCCCAGCTAATCTGTAGGTACAAATAAACTTTTACAGTTTTGGCTTTGAAAATGAACGCAACAGGTTGACTAATATTATCTATTGTGACAGGTAGTGCACTGTGAAGCTATAACAGTGAAAGTTTATTTGTTTCTATGGATTAGCTGGGAAAAAACAACATTTTCTCAGTTCTAGATAACATCTATTACAAATAAACTTATTAGTTCAGTTACCTTTTAGACATGTTACAGAATGAGCTATTACTTCTAATACACATGAAGTGTTGTTCAACACAGCAAAAAAGAAATAAAAGTTTAATGTAAATAAAGATACTCACCATGTTGTTTTCTTTTTAAGGAGGCCTATCACTTGATTTTCACTGTCTAGAAAATATAACACCTTTCCTTCCGAGTCAAATCCTTTCCTGATCTAATAAAATATGTCAAATTTATAAATGTTCTCTGTTCAGATATATCTAAATTTCACAGTTGTATGCACAGTGACAAACTTTGTATTGAAGTTACTTGCCTCCAGATATATAACAGAAAATCTATCATAATTTCTGTATTTCAAAATCTCTCTTTTCAAAAAAGATAAACTAATTGAAAGAGATTGAAATGTCACTTAAAACATGCACATTTTGCATTAGTCACAAAGTAGATTATGCAAAGAAGAAACGTGTTTCATTTAAATTATCATCTTTCTTTCTTCAATTAAGAGGTCAGAAATGAAGGGCTTACACAATAACCCTAACTAGACCAGTATTTTCCGTTTACTTGAATTTTTTAGTTTATTTTATAATTTGAAGGCAAGTGACTAAAAAACTGTTCTTAAGCTTTTCTTACTTGTTTGATTTTGTTATAATCTATATCATGGTCTTACAAAAAAGGAGATTTTTATCAGATCAGAAAGCATGTTAAAAATAAAGCTCATTGCTCAAATAACACTGGTGACATTGAAATACCTGTTTCATGAATATATCTAGATCTGACACCTTCACTTTCTCATACGTAACTGGATCTAAACCTAGACACTTAGCTATCTGTAAGATTAAAATTAATTAACATAAAATAAGCTGAAAATTTGATTTCATTTTTTTAAAAGCCTACAAATTTTGCTAGTGCATTAACTTATGCTTATCAGGTTGTTTCTAAAAAAATACCTCTAATTTTAGTCTAAAGAATGCATTACTTTGGGAAAATAGAAATCATCAACAAAAGATAAATGAAACTTCAAAACTTCATCTATTGATGATTGATGTGACTTAAAAAATATCAAAACATAATTAAATAACTTAAATACAGCACTCAAAGCTGAATAATTGAAAACCCAAAACATAAAAATAGATAATTATGTAGAATAACTTACCTCTATTCCAACATGTGGAGGAACTATGTTTAAATGGTGTAATTTTTCTGATGCTTCCAATTCACATTTTGTCCATGATATAAACTTCAAAGCTGGTCTTACAGAGAAAAATATAGCCAAAATTAAATACACAAATGCCTTGTAAAATCCTGCTGGTTTAACGGACACAAACACAATTAGTCCAGTCAGTCTGTAAATCGACCTCAAACAAATTGCAACAGAAAATATTTTACCTGGTATAGAAAGTATATGGAATAACATGAATCATATCAAAAGTCTAGCAAAATCTAAGTTGCGCAACACAGAAAAAAACGGGTTTGATCGCGTTATTTTTTGTGATTTTTTTCTGACGACAACGGTCTTCCATAGGCGAACAAAGCGTCTCCGATACTCAGAATAGCGACTGCATAATGGCGACAACAACAACAAAATTAGTGTAAACAAAATAAATGTCAGTAAAGTACACTGTAAAGTGGGTTGGTATATTTTCCTTAAAATATTACAGATCATAATAGGAATTATTAATGTGGGGTCGTAAGTTTATTATGAGTATTTGTTGAAAATTATTACTTGTTTTACCAGTTCTTTATCCGTTGAAGGTCAACAAGTGTTTCAAGCGATCTGTATTATACTTTTCATGGAAAACAGTTTAATTTATATAAATTACAACTCTGATTAACTCCTGTCTTAGTAAACATTCAAAAAACGGCCTAAAAATGTGTATTTTAAACAAGTTAATTTCGACAGTATTTTTAAACTATGGAACGCCATTATCACTTTAATTATGACGAATTACCTTAAATAAATTCTGAATACTTTTATCATGTTTTATTGTTAAATGTGTATTTAAGGTTGTTTTTTTTTTGTATTTTTTAATAGTTTTTTAAAATTGCTTTACATATATAATGTATGTAATGTTATTATTATTTCAGGGGTACCGCTTTGAGGTAGTCTTCATTGATGTATGCTTGATTTTGAAAATAAAAAAAATCCAGTATACTATATGTACACTTAATGAGTAAGTTTGCTTTCCTGTGCTTACATTTGTAATATTTTTACATATGCAACACAAATATCAAACATTATCTTTTACTAGTTTAAGTGAATATTAAACATGGAGGAAATAGAGCGTCGTATGCATAATTCAATATATCTGAAATTATTTTCAGTTTTTAATAGACATAGAAGAAATTTATACATGAAAAGGTGACATGAAAAATTTATCAATAAACAAACGTAATTTCTAGTTATGGTTCATGATTAGCGATGTGTATGAGTGAAAGTGAACATGCACAGTTGATCCATAATTTAAAAGAAAATCTTTAATGCATACAATAGCACCTGCGCGAATTTGAAAAAGTGCATTACGTGTATAAGATTAATTCACAGCGATATATTAGTATTTCTTTCGGAATGCACACCTAAGTTGACTATAGTATAATTTTATCACTTTTAAAATCAAAATTTAAGCAAATACATGTAACAATAAAAACATCTGTGCATTCTATAGAACCTTGTTTCACGTAAATATGAAAATAAGATTCTAATCCATTCTAACTTGAAGTAATAACTATGTTACAGGTTTTATCAACACACCAGAGCCAATGGGTATGCCCGATCTTGAAAGTGTTCTGAGGACACTGTGATGTATACGAGTTAAAGGTAAAGATGCATAGTTGAGACATTTGTTTCACAAAATCACTTTAATGATATTTTTCATATAAGCAAACTTTTAAAGTGTGTCATAAGTTCCATATAGTAACATATCAGTACAAATATTTTTGAATGCATGCACGGATGGGCATGAGAAATGCTTAAAATTGAAATGTCACATTTTTAAACTCAATATGTGACTTTATCTTTACGTTACTTCCAAACACTTTAACCAGTAGGTATTTTATATTCATAATTTTAGATTAAAACCTTAGAAAATAATAATAATATCTGTCATATGTTGCGTTTCGGATCGGAATAACCGTCCCGAGGTGACCCGCCCATTGGGCGGTAACGAGACTACTCAAGATTATCAGTGACTAGTGGCAATTTGTAAAGACTGTTGTAAGATTGTCGCACTTCTGAACGACCATCGTGCGACAGCCTAAGACCTTATAAGATCACTAGCGACCTGTTTGATCGCAAGGAGGTTTTCTGGCAAGCTCAAAAACCTCTCTACGACTGAAATTGTTCGTGGGACCTAAATAAGATAGCCTGTGACTGTCAAAGATCACCGATGACCGTCGTAAGACGTTTTAAAGATTGTCCGCGACCAGAGGTCACTGGTGATCGTGAACTGGTCTTCACTGGTCGTAAGCTCTAATGTGACTGGGGCTTAAGCGTGACATTGTACAGCACGCGACTCATCTGGCACCCCCTATGCCAGATGAAATTTCCGGCATGGGTAATACTAACGGAAACGCCAGTCTGATATGCAAGAAAAGTGTGTCATATCAGCAACTTTGATCAAATAAATACACCTAAAACATTTTAAGGAAAAATACATCTTATAATAACACGTACTGTTCTGGGATAACTGAAACAATACGTAATCAGCTACCAATAACCAGAATACAAGAATGCAAGGGATGATCCAGAAATACCCGTAATTTAAACAATAAATTCAATAATATTTATTCAAAGTTCATATAACAAACATTTTATTACTGCGTAATATACCCTCTTTACAAGGCAACAAGAATATGATAATTAAACACAGTATGCCTACCATATAAGCAAACATATGATTTGTCACATTATGCAGAAAAGGTTGATGTTCTATTGTTCTTATACATAGGGAATCCTCCCGATACCATTCGCTGTAAGTGTACTAACAACCTAAACCCATGACTATTGAACTGCTAAGTGCTTTGATTGCTGTGAATCTCATACACATGATCATCTTAAAGTTGAAGGCATAAAATATATGATTGATTTTATTTAACTAGATAAAAAGTGCATGTAAAAGAAAACAAATAAAGTATGAAAAACAGCACATAATCGTCAATTAGAATTCATTTTTTTTTAAATCGCATTGAAATTGTGCAAGGCCGCATATGACAGCATATTTGTACTTTTCAATCGCCACAGCGACGTAGAACGTTAACTTCACGCGTATTCTTCTATGCCGCAAACGATATGTATTTCTCTTTAAAATTACTCCAACATTCTGGTAAAAAAACTTCTTTACCCCTCAAAAAGTTTTGTATGCATGACCAACAAAATACTTGTGTCGAATTTCTTATATCATATTAGATGTTTCTATGGTAGGCTGTCTAAACAGTTGACAAATGTTAATGAAAGTGCCGTTTTCCGACGCCTTAATGAAGACGTTTTTGCATAAATAAACGTTGCAATTACAAATGATTACACAATTATTATAATACAATGTTCAAACGACGTGAAGTTTTAGCAGGCTTTACATTAACCTTCGGCAAATATTGGACATGATCCCTTTTTGTGTCGGGCACTTTGGTGTATTAAAAATTTCAACTAACGTCGTGTTCTTTGAGTTGCGCTGCTGTGGCGTATCCAGGGTTTTTAAGGCTGCCTGAGACGGTACTGGATGTTTATAATCAATTATATTTGGCAATTAAATAGAAGAAACATCGATCTTTGCGCATTTATAAATTTAATGAAGAAAACATAAAAAGTTATCAGAATTATAAAAAAATTTTGGGTAATTCTGGATCAACCTCCATATAATGTAAAAAACAGATTTTATAAATCTTACAATATCAATTATTGTTTTTTTTTCAAGATGAACTCCTATCGGATTTGTTAACGGCTGTTTGATGATCATACAAAGACAGTTAAAGGCAACGAAAAGGAATGCAAGGGAATAAATGCTGCCAGTGAGAAATAAAATGACAGTTTAAAAGTTGAATCGGAATAATATATTCACATTGAGTGTAGAAAGATGTACTGTAACCAACATTACACTAAAAGAGACACTAAGACAGAAAAAGAAAACACTGATGCCACCATTGAGATCAATGACTGATAAGTTTTCATACAAAAAAAGATTGTTTATATTGTGGTCAATCTTTAATAAGAAAGGGTAAAACAAGGAAGTGTGATGTTTCGCCAGTAGACACTAGAACCTACTGTTTTGAATATATGTATACAGAGGAATGACTGTTTGTCTGATACAGTGAGAGCAAGGATAGAACAGGTTCACAACTTGCTTGCAGCCGATGCTCTTTAACATCAAACATGTTTATGCTCCTCTAATTTCAGAACTGGAAAAGATGTACAAGAAGAATTTCAGGTGCTACCATCTAGTGATAAAAACTGAAAGATTGGTCGACCAGAAATTACAGAAGCGAGTGACGCTTTGTAAAAGTCATGACATTCTTGTGCTTATGCTTAGCGAAGCTTTTTTAAAAATTAAAATTTGCAAATATTTTTTTTTACATTTTATGCTCAAATGTATTAAATATTTGAAATTGATCTTCCAAAAGGTCAATGTCACAAGCTCTTTTGATCCAATGTCATGATGTTATGTAATGACTCAGAAAAAATACAACAGATGTGCTTGAAAGTATTCAAGTTAATATAAAACTCAATATTATTATCATAGATAATATAGATTTTCTTAATGTTTCTCTATTTTGTTTAAAATTACCCCACCCACTAGCTGTACAATGTTAATATAAATATTTCAATATATGCATTAAATATTGATGGAATGTAAATTAAATTCATAAAACGTTGAAACTTGACAGTTTTCACGTGTACGTAAACCATTATGTATTTTCTGTTTAATATTATATAACATAGAGCTTTCAATAAATTGTTGATCTACAGCAATGTAAAAATATAATATTACCCCACTTAAGTTAATTAATAAATTTTAGAGAGGTAAAAGTAGTTTCTTTAAACAAAAACAACTTTTTGATTACTTTATGTTACTATAGGGATAGATTAAGCTATATTTTTATGCATATTATATATAAAACTGATTGGAAAATTGTATGTGTGTATTACATTGAGTTCAAATTTAAAAAATAAATACAATGATACCCATATATTTGATCTCAATTTTTGAAAACATTCTCCAATTTAGATTTTTCTAGACTTTTGATATGTTATACAATATAGGTCTGGGGTTTCAAAACACTCAAAATATTTTCTGTTGCAATTTGTTTGAGGTTTGGCTCTATTTTGAGCTAGAATGACTGGACTAAATCTAGGTTTTACACTCCAGAAATCTAAACACATAAAGTCGCCTCTTAAGGGATGAACGGTGACTGCAAATCTAATGCCTTATTTGTTAAGAATTTCATAAATATGGATTTCTGAGGCATAATGTGCTTTTAAATCTAATTATATAATATGATGTATGAATATTCCTATGCAGTTTTTGGTCTCCTTCAAATACTTTTGTAATATTGTTAAAGATGTATGTAATATATAGTTGATAAAGTTTCTGAAAATTAACACATGCTTTGAACAAAGGAACAATAAATCATCAATTTGTTTATATATTTCAAATATAACAATTATCAATAGAATGGATTATGGGTTTTTTAAGGCAATAATTCATTTTTAAAACAAGTTAATTCCTAAATGGCAAAATTAACTAACATACCTTTTTAAATATGATAGGTTGACAACATGTTGATGAAGGGGAGATAATATTTCAAACACTGCCGTATATTGACTTTGAACTAAAAATTTCATTAATCTGCAAGAAGAAAATACAAAAAAATATAAATAATATATACCTGGTAAAGATTATACTTTGGCATAACAACTGGACAATCAGAATCTGTTAGAGCTAGGTTCTTATATACACCTATATGATTTGGAGCTTCATCAAAATGCTTTGACTAAGTCAAATTTTTCATATTATTTATACTTTTGTGACAAGTTAGACAACATACAAAATCAATGCATTTTAAAGTGTTTAAAGCTATATTTCACCTGTTTGTAGTTTATGAAATTATTGTTAGAATTTTAAAAAATGAATACTTCCAAAAAACCTGTATGAAAGAAGTATGTTTATGTATTTCCTTCAGAGCAATTTAAGCAGTCAGACAAAACGGTCACTATAACACTTTGTCGCACCACTAACATCATTGTGAAAATTATATTATTTCAAGGACCGCAAAAACTAATATATAGAAAATGAACATATTCATGTAAGGTATAATATTAAATACCAATAGTGGAACATAATCCAGATACATTTAATATCAATTTTAAGCAAATTCTGCATCAATATCCTGCTTTGTAAAATAATGACATTTTAAAATCACCTGAGCCGATCTTTCTCAGTCATATCATCTAATGCCTCCATCACTGTATGACACACTTCAGTTGCTATTCTATATCTTGGTTCTACATACTTGTCTATATCACCTTTAAACCAAAATTTGACAATAATACATGTATTAACATTTAAAAGAAATGAATAGCCTATCAATTCTTTCTAATTTTTTTTAGAATTTGGGATTTTTTAGAGAAAAATATATATTAAATAATATTTTCTTACTTAAAGCAGAAGACCCTGACCAAAATTATATAAAAGTTTGCTTTTTTGCTAAACAGAATATGTATTACTTAACAATGAATTTTTGTTTACCAGCAAAATTCCTTTGTTTTGGTTCAAAATGACGCGAGATTCTTCTACCTGAGGGGCCATGGCCTTAGTCCCTCGTAAGGTAATTATGGTCTTGATTAATTAAAGAAATACTTACTTTTATTTCTAAACAGTAAATGGACATTTTTTGAGCCTCCACATAGAATGATTTCATTATCAATTTCTATACAACTTAGATGTGCAGCTTCACCATTAGCTTTGTTAGTGGCTATAACAATTTCTGCTTCTTCTATTGGCTGAAAAGCACAATAAATTACATCATTAGCAATCTACAAGCATCTCTCTAGTAATTATTCGCGCCAGGAAAGTTGCAAGACCTTGACATATTTCTAGATATATAATTATGACAAAGTTTGCCTTAAAAAAATATATTTTCTATGACAGGTAGTAAGTATCAATTTCATATGTGTGGTTACAATACAATTTATGTATGTATGTACAGAATACTGTGAAAACCTAGGTATGCCATGTTTGCCTTGTTGATATTTAGTTTATACTAATTTATTTTAGTTCAATTGTGTTGGAAGCTATAAGTTATAAACCCTAATGGGATTTGAACCCACACAGTCAGATGTCCTTAGATTCCTAGTCTGATGTATTAACCACTTGGCTATGCTGACTTTCATTTTCCACAGGCTCTACTCCCATTGGTAATTGATATTTCTTACAGAAATCCTAATAAAAATGGCCAATATCTAAGCTTTCTTTTTAATCATTTAAATTGCAAAATAATTTTTCTTTTGATAAATCTAAAACTTTAACCCTTAAATTGCTGACAATACTGTCTGACCAGGCTCTATACCTTTTTTTTTGGTACCTCTTTTTTATATTTTGATATTGAAATAACTTAACTTTGAATGGACTGTTCCAAATGCAAAGCTGGATAAAACCATTACACAAATTCAGCATTTTAGGTAAAGTCCACTTTTTTTACACCATTTTTTACACCATTCAGTCTCTATATAGATATTTATACATATATTACCTTAGTAAAATATTTCTGCCAGACAAGATCATCCCCAGACTCCCTGTCATCATCATCACCAAGCCCACCAGTAAACTTCTTCATAGCTTGGAGAGCACAGAATGTACGAGGTGCCTTGTTTGTTAACTCTAAAAAACTGTTTCCTCTAGCTATCTGTAAATTAATGAATCTGTGTCAATTAGGTAAGGAAAAAGAAATCATTTAACATAAAGTGATCATGATGATCCTATTTTCAAGAAGGCTCAATAAGTCCAAGTTTCAAAAAATTATGTCCCATCCAAAATACACTATGCAGCCTCCATATTGTTCAAAAGAAAATTTTCTTAGTTTTGATACTGTACAAAAAATAAATATACTTATATGAAATACAATAAGATAAGATACATGTACAATGAATGTAACATGTAAGATTTATTTATTATAATGACCTGCCCAATGGACCTTATAAGTCACCTTATATTGACAAAAATAAAAGTACATGTATTATATAGTTACAGTCATCATGAATAAGTGTATGACAGAAAGTTTATATTATTACTGCTATTTTTCTATATAACGCAAATAACATTACATCAAAGTTATTGTTTTCATTTAAGCGCACCATAGTTAATGTGATAATAATAATAACAGTAAAAGAATATATTTTTTTATTACATGCTTTTCGGTGGTTTATAGAAATATATCAGTGATATAAAAACTGGTAATTTCACTGTTTGAAACAGTGAAATTACCACTTTGATAATTTCACTGTTTTGAATTTAAGCCCCTTAAGTTGTTTCAGTGAAATACCAGCGTGTACAGAACTGGGTACCAACTTAATGACGTGACGTCGTAAATGACGTCACGTTGTATTATTATTTGGCGCGCTTTTCATTCAGTATTAGGTTTAATGTCTTTTTAAAACGTTTCTTTGCATATAATAAAAAGAAAATTTGTTTAGTTTAGTGCAAGATCGAAATATATTTCACCTTGTGAACACCAAAAGTTCATATTTCACTCGTGGCTGCACCACTCGTGAAATATACCTTTTGGTGCTCACTCAGTGAAATATGTTCTGATCTTACACTGAACTAAACAAATATCCTCTATATAATATTCCTTAAAATTTTACAAACCCTCTCTCTAATTTCCTTGTTGTTATCATATACCGGGTCATCTGGTCCAAATTTAACAAAAACTCTCACGTCATGCAACCTCCCTTCATAATCATTTGGTAAAATGAGCGAAGGCACATCTACTGACACTACTTTCAGATTACTGTCTAATTTGGCCCATGATAAAAATCTGAAATAAATAAATCAACATAAGATTTATGTTCTATCCATCATAATAATGCTTTATGATAAATAATTATATGAAACTTGTCATATTTTTTTCATATGATCAGTCAGACAGTTTAAAAAATAGGTATGCTGAAGACCTATAGCTAATAGTATGGAAAGCAGCTCCCAGTATTAATAGCATTGGCCTGTTAATCACTGATTCTCATAAGAATTGTGAAATTGACAGATCAAAAGTCGAAAAAATCGATCTTCTTAATAGGGCCTAATTTCGAAAATTTCGAAAAGTAGAACCCTTAAATGAGACAATTGTGAAATTTTTTGAACATCAACCAAATACTTTGCGAGTACTACTCTCTGAAAAAAGCAACCCTAGTTGTAAAATTTATCCTATTGTAATGTACGCTACTACCAGTTTATTAATTAAAACATTCCGAATTTCATAAGAAATATTAAACATATCCACTTCAGAGAACTTTATATTTGCCATGTATTCATTGCATGTATAAAATAACAAAATATTTCACTATGAAACGCTTGAAATATTTTTTCTTGAGCTTGCAAAGTTATCGCAATAAAAAGCAATTCTACAAAAGTACGTTTATTTAAAATGCGGAATTTTTGATGATTGATTTCAATTGTATGATTCCATTTATTTGTTCTTATGTTTTGTTTAAACCTTACTTCAATAATGATAACGTGACGAAACAAAACTTTGCAAACAAAATACATGACTAAAATTTTGTGGTAGAGTCTTTTTGACAGAACATCAATTGTCTCGGACATTACGTAATCCAGTAAAAATATTCGTTGTGGGTAATAGTAATAGTTATTATTATTATCATTTTATTATACAATCATTTTTTAAGTTTAAACTTAATTTTATTAAGTGTGTTCATTTAAGCTTGAGTTAATAGCATGGGTAAATAATATTGTACAAACGAATTAAATTACGAGTATAACTATGTATCCGGATTATTATTCCGGCTTACAAAAGAAGTTATATACCTGTCCTTATATTAATATCAATGTCATAAAACATATTTACTGATATCGTGGGCATATATGCAGCGTACAGAATAACAATACATATATTACAATTCATGCCTTTGATATTATTAAGGCTACATCAAATTTTAAGATTTGAACAGAACATTTCAAAAAGGGCATCTTACTAGCCAATATTGAGAAAAAATGTATTTTAATTGTTAATTATTATGTGCTTCCTACTTAGTTTAAAATATTTCAATTACAAAGAGCCAACATTGTCTTTTCCTCTTCTACACTTATAAGTGCAATTGCTACTTATTTCTAATACAGATTTCACCATATATGACTGTAGAGATGAAGGAAATTTTCAAGATCTGCGTGTAATGTTCGATACTAATATTGTAATGTTTGATACATCGTTGTTATATGTTGTAGACACTATCATGTGTATAATATTGTAGATGATATATTTTAAACATGTCAGCAACTATGTTAATAGTATCTGATAATATGTTCAGTTATTATATGTATGTTTATAATAGTAGTTTTTTTTACTAACGCGGTGAAACGTTATTGGGGTTTGAAACTGATTTAGATGATAATCAACAATATTGCCTCATATATATTTACGCATTTGAATTACAAACAGCTATTTACTTTATTTAAACAATATAGAATTATGGAATATTTTCTCAAAACAAAAGCAAAATCGCTGAAAACATTAACAAATGTATAGATTGCCATCAGAATAATTCAGTAATGTTCGATACGAAATGTAGTGAACATTACAATACCTATTATGAAAGGCATATCACTTATAATCTATATCTAAACAATTTCAGTAAGAAAACCTAGCATACAGATTCTGGCTTTAGAAGAAAATAATTATTAAACGTATTACATCTTTGTTTTTGTAGTTACTAGAATCTGATATTCAGTTACTAGATTCTAAAGCCTTACCTATACAAAATTAAGAAAATTTGATTATAACTGTAAAAATACAAAGGATGTATACATTTATGCTGCAACTATGATTAAATATAACACAAAAATGACTAGTTTAAGTCCTGGTTAATTGAAAATTAAGTATACTAAAGCCATGTTACATTTTTATTGTATTGAACATTACAGTCGTGTACATTACAGACATATGTGTATATAGATATATTAAAAGATTCGTGGGCACAATTCTTTCAGATTTGGTTATTATATATCCCTCCAAATGTAAATCATTTATTAAAAATTCCTTAATTGGGAAATAGTGCATAGAACGTACTAATTTTTTAGTAGCGAACATTACATGCTTAAGTCATCATCTGGCACAGGCTGTCAAAGTAATAGAATATCGGTTAATTCTTAGAATTTATCATAAGAAAGATAAGTCTGGCTATAGTAGCATAAGTATTTAATTGTAAATAAACATATAAACGACTTAGATTACTAAGTTATTTTCAGTTATGTGCGGCACTTAATTTACAAGTCGCGTACATTACCGATGCCAGTAAATTTTGGCGACATTTCTAAAACATTCTACATATGACAAAGATCAGTCTTCTCAAGTGGGTCAAGCTTTGAAAACAGATAAGGAGACATACATACTCCTGCACAAATTATTATTTTGCCGAAATTGTATAGGTTTTTGAGGTTACACTAGCTCAAACACGAATAATCCAAAATTGCGACAGTCTCGAACATTACATTTCCAATAGCTTCCCTCATAAAATTTTGGTATCGAATGTGTTATCAATGAAGTCTATGGATAAAAAAATTCCCTTATATACTTTTTGAACGTTAGCTATCAAATAGCAAGTTTTTCTGAATCGAATATGTTCAGAGTGTGCAGCGACATCAATTTCACAATTTGCGTGAGAATAAGTGAATACTTCATGTGTTCCAAACTTCCCATGACTGTATTCTGAAGTCTGAGTGAAGAATAGTGGAAATTGTGCAATTAATATAGACGTCATAATTATATAATATAACATTAGCTAAGTCCAAGAAGTGAACTGAAGCACAGAGACTAAGGGATGGAGCCTGGGGTGGGGAAAAGGGGGTTCAGACCCAACCCCAGGCTTGATCCCTCTTAATGGTGGAGGGGGTTCAGACCCCATGACAGGCTTGATCCCTCTTTAACAACTATCAATAAAAAAAAATTTAAACATTTTAGCACCAATTGGGCATCCATCTAAATAAATCATAAAATTTGCTGACAATTAAAAAATCCAAGTTACTATCACTTGTCTCAATAATTATTGGCACTTGATGGAATTTTTTTTTTTTAATTTAAGTGAAATTGAATCAAACCAAGTTCATAACTGCAACGGGATGCCCCCCACTAATGTGTAACTGTTAAAACTCAAGTTAAAATGTTATATATAAAGTAACTGAGAATTTTCAAAGGCTGAGAAAGACTAGGGGTCATGCACGGTCTGACAGCAGGGATAAGAAAAATTTTGATACGATTTTATCACCTACCACTACCCCCTCTCACCCTTCCCTCCAGTCCCCGTTACAGTTAACCCCCAAATATATGATTCAAAGTTAATTTGCACATTTTAGTATTCATAACTACAATACTATGACAATATTACACAATTTTCATATACTGGTCGGAGAGATAACTCCGACGCATAGATAACCCTGACACTTGAGAAATATAATTTTTTTAACTTTGTTTTTTAACAAAAAAGCATATGGTCACCTAGTAGTATAGGAGCAGGGCAGAATGTGATGATTTTTTGTAAGTTGGTAAACTTTTTAATATTTTTCAATTAACCGAAACTTTTCGTTGGCAAAAACTGCTTCAAAACGTTCTTTTTACTAAATTACAATGAGGTAGTTAGAAATGTATTGACCACAGGCCACTGACTTGGGAAATATTTTTGAAAACTTGTTTTTACATCAACAAAAAATAGATAAAACATATAAGATGTAAAAATAAATTAATGATGCTGATTTTCCTGTCATTTTTTACTTAAAAATTTAAGTGTCGACTTTATCTACTGTTGAGGGGTAAAAAGACCATGTTTTGTATACCCCATTCAGGACCTTAAAGAAGTACCAATTCTCATTTTCATACATAATTTTTGTAGTGTAATGTAAAGTCTTTGAACTGAACTTTATTTAGGTGGTTCAATATTTAAAATATACAGGAAGATAATTAAGATATTACAAAAAGTATGTGATTTAGTGTCGGAGTTATCTCTCCAACCAGTATCTCTATAATGAAAATTGTGTAATATTGTCATAGTATTGTAGTCATGAATACTAAAATGTGCAAATTGACTTTGAATCATTTTTTAGGGTTTTAACAAGGGGAACTTGGAAGGGGGTAGTGGTGGGGGATAATATCAGCTCAATCCTACATGTAGACTACTTTCGTTTTTGTATCTTCACTTTATTCATATTAAGAGGACTATAAAAAACAAACATTATAATATTTACAATAGACTTTTATATTGATCGTGATCTGGCACAATGTCAACTATCACCTGAAAACAACAACCAAATTTTTTTTTTCATCGCGAAAACATATTACAATCTTATTTTGCCTCACCTCTCGGCTGAATCTGTGCCCTTAATATCCGATGAATTCGCAGATATGTTATAAAGGTGAGATTTAATCTGTTCGTAGAACTCATTAGATTCTAGTTTTGATAAAATATCCTGAAATACATCGCATTGCAACTCTGTTTCTTTCATGGACGCCATGTTTTTTATGATTGCTGTTTATTGTGAAACTTGATAGGACTGTTGACTTGTGTCTATTCAAGTTTATAGAACTATGGTGACACATTGTTTGTATCATGATCATGTCATATAATATAAACTTACAGACGTGCATATTGTTTAATGTTACATTTCCAAAGTATATGCCAATCAGTCAGCTTAGTCTTATCTGAGCTCATAAATAAGAAATTGCTTTAAAATAATAAGTGCTTCTTTTTTCAAGATTATTGTAGACAGTACTACAGTACTGTATACAGTATATCAAATTAAGATATAGATCTAGCTCATAAATCTATGTAAATTTTGATAACAGTTTACTCTTCAACTTGATATCTGAAATTGAACACTGCCAGTGAACACATTACAGATGATGGATGTCAGCAATTGTTGCTATGGCAACCTCATATAAACTTCAAATAGTGCAGCAATATACTGTTGTCTTTTAAATATTACTTCATTATTGATGAGCAAAATGCTCTTGATAGCAATTCCGAGATATAATTATATAATCCATACAAACTCAGGTTGCCATAGAGATTCATGATCAATAATTTAAAAATTGATTATTAGTTGATGAATTTGCTGTCGCAGTTCATCATGTCAGACTAACTTGTTGTGGTACTGCTATAGTACATAATTATGTTATTGTTAACTGAGTTTACTTCAATGATGATCATCGGTAATTGTCCAGTTCTCCTTGTCTTGAAATAATTGATGTGAGTTTCTGTTTTGTGGGTGTGTTTATTATAAACTATTATCTCTGTAGCTATGTTCAATTATTAGGCCCCAAACTTACTCCTCTTAAATGTGGAGTAAGACATCAGGTGCCCCTCCATGCATTATACCATTGACACTCCATAAGATTTCAAGGATCTATAAGATTCCTCAAATAAAAGAATCAAAGTCCCTGACAGGTGAGAGGCAGCTAGGTGGTTTGAAGTCATTGACTTCAACCATTTGGCAACATACACTCTTAATCTATGTGTTGATTCAGAAGTTTATAATACTTATACAGTCATGTTCACCAAACAAGCTTTAAGTGCAGATGAAAGGACAAATCAAAGTATGTTCAGTTGGAATTCCTGATTTACATTCTTTTGACTGTAAGATTAATTTTCATAATGATAAGAGTACACAAAATAGACAACAATTTGCATGTCATTAACTTCTCCCATTACTTTTTCATTACATTTACACTTAGCAAATGTCAACTACTTGCAATAAAATACCATATACATGTAGATTATTCAAAGAATAAACAGGCCCTATAAGCTTGCTATGATAAGCACTTATCATGCTAAAACCACAACAGCCACACCAACTACCACTTCTGTGTTGTTCAGACCAGGCTCTTTACTGTTGGCTAGCTTACCTTTCAATAAATTTTCATCTAGATTTCACCAATATTGATAATGGACACTGGCCTGTTTCAAAATGCAAGCTGGACAAGTTCATTTAAAAAATTTTGCAGGTTGTAGATTAAATACACCATGTAGTATTACAGCAGCAAGCCTCAATTAAGATTCATGACTGTAATTTTTATGAAATTTAATTATATATATTTTCTAAAAATGTTGCCAGCCTAGGACACTTCTTTGGAAACTGATGTAGCCCATGCATCAAAATATGTAAAAGCTATAATCCTTGGAACTTCATTTGTATCCTGGTACAATTTTTGATAATAAAAATGGTAATTTCTGATGTATTTAGCATAAATCAGTCATCATTCATGGGTGAGCAAACTTTTACATGGGCTATCATGGATATTTAAATGCATTTTACAAACTATTTACATAACATTAATAAGTTCGATTCACTGAAATTCTGGGGTCCTCAGCTTTATATAGCTGAAATTGGATAATAAACTTCCTAAGTAACTTTTCACAATTCGATATCAGGGACTTAACATTGACATTAATAATTATATTTTTTTCATCAATTGGTGTTTGACAGTTTGTTGACCATAATAATTCTTCAAAAGATCTTATCACAACATTTTTCCCACACAAATACGTTTCCATAAATAAAACAGAGCATCCATTTGATTATTCTCGATCTGTATTGTACATACAAATTCATATTTTATAACAAAGAATTCAAGTATCTTAAATAGTTATACATTTTTTTATTTTTTCTATGATGTATATTTATGTACAAAGAATAATAAAATGCGAAAGTGTAACTGGAATGACATAACATTTACTTTAAAATAATATGCGAACTCTTAAACCACTTTGGAATACAAACACTTTTAAAAACAAATCATTAAACATTTAATAATTTAATGATATTGCAACTGAATGTCATAATATCTTAACAGAAAATCAAAGTCAGGTAAATGCTTTTCATGAAAAGTACCTTGAATTAAAAAAATTGAGGAAATGAAAAATAATGATACTTGTTTTAGTGAAATTGAACCGTCAAATTTCACAATGGCCCCGATTAACTGTTTAATATTGGTAACAACTGGATTGTTTTAAACATTTGGAATTGCAATATGTCTTGTTTTTGTCAGTTTCAACGAAAATCTCTTTCGAGATGACTAAAAATAAGACAAAATCATTTTGATATCTGACTTTCCATTTTTCATTTTTACCACAATTAAATCAACATTCTTTCTAACTATGTCTTATGTTAATTTCAACATAAAACAAAATTATATGTCTACTCATTCAATATCACATACATCTAGCTTTCCCTTTCAAACAATCAGCACATGGCTAAGAATTCTGTAGACAAAACATAATCAAAATCAGATCATGTGGCTATCACAAGCTCAGGGTACATTTTGTCCCGTTTATAGCACAACAGTTGTATAAAAACAACTACCGTATTCCCTCTAACAAACATACGTTAAAAACTTTTCTAAATATTTCTAATTGAACACTTAAACACATTTTTCTTCACAATGCAATGTTTAATTAATAACGGTTTTAAAAAATAATTAACAAATAATTTCATGTATATCACTTTGTAATTTTTCATTAAAATGTCTACCTGGATGTTAAAATGTTTTTGTTCTTTAAGGCAATTTTAAGGATTTTCCTCTTAAAACAAGTCCTTGAGTAGAAATTTTCCAAGGTATGTACAATGATAAAAATGGTTAAAGTGTGTGGTGATGTTATTGTTTCATTTGTCCTATCCCTTGTGGGTTTCCTTTGTTTTGCACAGGTAAATAAAGCTTGAACTCTGCAGGTAATTCGTCTTCTGAATATAATCTATCTGAGAAGTAAACACGGCGGATTCGGCAGTTTGCATGGATCTGAAATAATACAAGATTGAACTTTATTTTCATAATTCATTACAGAACGTACTAAATAAAGTAGCTACCTTCTGTTACGGTACTGATGATGAATTATTTATCTTATTTTAAAGACACAAATCTGAATGTATCATTAAATTGCCCTAGTTTGACAACTGCTGATAGATCATAAATTTAAGAAATAATGTTTTATAATACAGTAAAGGAGACTCTTCAAAATACAATGTATAAAAGTTGTCAAACAACTATATGAAGTCGGACTACATCCGTATGACATAACACTTGTTTTAAATCCATTGGGTTTATTTCCCTGATAAAGGTAGAAATCACAGGCTGTACCTGTACACGGAGTGTTTCAATGTAGTTTGTTCCATATGCTCTTCTCGTAAAGTCTGACAAATTGAACTGAATCTGATTCCAACCATCATCCAATCTCATAGGCATAGTACAAATAAATGGCTTTACTCTCGTCGTGCTCTGGTAGTTACTAGCTCGGAATCTCCTTCGTACATTCTTATCGTCGAGTACCTAAAAAAGTAGCCAGCATACAGTTATATATTTGTGCAATTATAAAATGACCACATATACCAAAGATTTCATTTAAACTCCATGCAAGGTTATCACACTAAAATGCTTGTAACTAAAACTTAAATAAATGTTGGCAGAAAATAATTACATGTAATTGAAATTATGGAAGACAAAATGTAGAAAAGTTCAAATAGTATTAGATATACAATAGTTATATACTTTGCTTGAACATTATAATTCAAATACTTTACTCATCATTGATCAACACTCCTTATGAATATTAATTACAGAACTGAGATACCAAATATAATTTATAAGATGTAGTTCATTTCATATATAATACATACCTGAACTTCAAATGTGAAGTATTTCTTTAAATTCTTTATTATCATCACTAAAAATGGCAATTTGATACCAAGGGTTTTCTTTGGGTCTGCTGGACATGTGATATATGTTGTACTGAAATAAGGAATGAAAACAAATTAACTTCATAGACTTAGTGCTACTCATTGAGAGCATGCATTTATTTACATGTACAATAACAATTCAAACTTTCAAATTTCCAGAAAAGTATATCTTATTTACAATATAGTAATACAAATTAAATGTATTAAACTACATAGATACATGCTAATGAACAATTTTATTTAAATAAATCTGCTATTCAACAAATAATGAAATAAAATGAATATATATGCATACCTAACATTTGTTCCAACAATTTCTAATACTAGTGACTGAATATCATTGTCTGTGATACGTTTTATGTGTCCATTCCGTACCTGTAAACAATAAAGTAATGAAAGTAAGCAAAAATAATTCACTTTTACCAGATCTGTATAAGCAGAACTCAAGACATCAACAACAAGTTTCCTTGGTTACCGTATTTTAAAATTAAAGTCATGTTGAATAACATGAGTTCACACTGAATGCAATTAAATCTCAATCAAATTACCATAGCAACCAATCATTTTATTTAATAAAATGGTCTGGATAGAAGATTGAATGAAATATGCATGTATGACATGCCTCTATGACTTCTCTCATCTATCTATACAATGGTTATTGGCTTTATTTTTATTTGAAGAAGATTTATATCAATCAAAATGCATTATTTACAAAGTTTTGCACATTACAAACTACGGAAAGACACTTTGAGACAGAGATACACTGGAAAGTAAAAAGCATAGTTCAAACCAAACAAACCGAATACACAAAGGAGTCAACTTCCGCTTTACATACACACTAATGAATTACCGATTTAAAACAATATTCTCTAATATTTTTAACATATCGGTAGAAAATATACAAAACAAATCTTTCATGAACAAAATGGCTAAATGAATTGACTGAAATACATATAATTATTTCAGAAGTTCAAAAGATGCAACATCAATAGGTATCTTTCCGGTTGCCAGCCATGTCACTATGGCGATTATAGATAACTGCATTAAAATTATAAAGTGGTTTAACTCACCTTTTTGTCCCATATTTGCAATGGTTTGCTTCCAATACTGTAAAGTATTGATAAGAACCCACTCTGGAAAGTATTTTTGAACATTTTTAATTAACAGAGTCCTATAACACACATAAAAAAATTATATTTGTAAGACCTCCTTCCACACGTCCTACTCTGAATGATTTAAGTTGTCAAGTGAATGCAATGTCTCACTTCAGGTTGTCAAGGGGAAGTTAATCGGCTCGCGCGTGGATACAAGTTGCCACGAGAGATTTCAGAACTACAATTGAATAAGATTAAATATTTTTATGAAATAACCTGAAAAGATTAAAGAATTATTTTAAGATATCATATGAATTATTTTTTAAACCTTTAAAAGTCTTGTTTTCCGTATATAATAAAAAAACTAAGAACTACTTTCTCGGAAGTATTTCCGGTGTGGGTGAATTAACCACGCTAAAACAGAGTTGTCGTTCTTTTCTTTATTTTTAATACGTAAACATTGTTTACTTTCGGTTTTCTATCAGATCAACTATATTAACGCATTAATAAACACGATTTAGAGAATTATGTGCATTATTCAAATGAAAGCTAGATCATACAATGATTTCACCTTTGAAAACAGAATTTTAACCTGAGCCAATTTATGGAGATTTTTTTGACAATTGTAATTATTTAAATACAAATGATGGAAATGTTTGAATTTCTCAAAAACTTATAAATACTACTACTAACTCAGCCTGGACTCATTATACGTACATTATTATATGTCATTTATTGAAATTTTACATGTCTTTCTCAATTAGAGACTCAGTTAAAATGGTAATAGTCTAGCTCGGAATATTAATGAAACCATTTAATTTTTTATACAAGGTCTCTAGCTAATCAAGATCGAAATCTCTAGATAGCGACTTCCATGTAATCTTCTCATCGCATATGAAATGTGTAAGATTCCTTATTATACGTGGAAAGAATACATAGAGCCTTTTTTTTTTTATCTATATCCTACATCCACAAAATTGCTGTACGTTCATATGTAAATCGTGTCTTTCAAAAATGATAATTAAAAAAAAAAAATGCATTGTATAATGTTGTTCAAAACGTATTGTGTAGCCTATGCTTAATGAGGGTCCAGTCGACCGTTAATTAAGACGCAAAATGCAGCTTCCGCTGTCGATTACGTACCAGCTGTCGATTACGTACCATAATTAATTTTGACACACGTGTGCACACGTGCAAATTTAAGTGGTTAAAATTTACCCCCGAATTGAATTTGAGCCGAAAGTAAGTCGTTGTACAGCGGTCAATGAGACTCTGGCTTTCTGTTGCACGTATCTAGATGTTTGTCGTGTGGGTATATGTATAAATGTAATTTAAATTAAAGCTACATGTATATATTAAAGCAAACCATCCCGCGTAGACCTACCCGTTGCCACTCATGCGAATAGAAGAGCGGTAGACATGCCTAAGTCTATAAGCTAACTAGTACTTACTTTACGCACTTACGCTCGTTCGGTTGATTGATAATGTAGAAATAAAAAGATTTAAAAACGCAATAAGAACCTTTTCAATAACCAAAACCAAAAAATATCTCATTGCACTCAGTGAAATATGTCTTGTGCATGGATAGCTTAGAAATGTAACGAAACTCTTAACTTAGTACGTCCAGCGTGTAGGTTTGTAGAATATATCATGTATATAAAGGATATATTCAACTTTTTTCTCTAAATACATGATTTATTTTCATCGAGTGGTATGAAAATAAATATATCATGAGTGGCGGTAGCCACGAGTGAAATTTGATAATTTTCATACCACAAGATGAAAATATATCCTGTATTTCTGGAAAAAAAACTTGAATTTTCTGTTTATGGTATACATTTTTTTATTTTGACATTACAAATTGAAAGATTTTTTCCGTTAAATTCTTTTAACGTTATTAATAAAGCATGGAAACAAACAGCGATGGTGTGTCGAATCTAGTTGTATAATTGTAGTGGTATAGTTATGCGAAACCAGGTAGCAAGCCAACCAGCCTAGGAAACAATATATATATGGGAACCTACATGGGCCTCAAATAGATGCCTATAAGAACCTGTTTTGGGCAAACCATATGGGTCCACATGCATGAGGGGTGCAACTGATGCCTATCTGACAGCCCATATGCAAAAATATTTCAAATAATTTATGTTTTCTTGCGTTTTGAACATTAATTAACCAGTATAAAATATTTTAATGCAAAGTATTTGAGGGAAGTAAATAAGTTGTGAAAAGGCCAGCAATAAATAAATAATTAATAAAAAATAAAATAAAATAAATAAATAAATAAATTAATTAATTAATTAATTAATTAATTAATTAATTAATTAATTAATTAATTAATGTAAATAAGTTTAGCTAAATGCTTTATTCAATTGTATTTTATTTCATTATAATACTAAAATAAAAGTTAATTTTTGTATTCTTCTTTTTAATGTACTTAAAACATAATTATGGACTATTATATAACCACACAAAAAGAAACTGGTATTTGTGGTGATATAAGATCGAATCACAAGATTGTATCACAGAGCTATATTTAAAATTAGTATCTTAATCTATTATTTTATACTGTGATAGGACGAGTATACACTAATTAAGTCAATGACGTATTGTACCAGTAATCCGACACCATATGTGTCTTATTTATATATCTATAGACAGTGCTGGCACACTTGTAATGGTTTATCCTAATGCCTTGGACATTAAATATATCCCGATTAAACGACATATAAACTTTTAATAGGCAAATGACCAAAATAAAACATCAAATTTTAGCATAAAAACAGTATATATTACTTTATTTAAAGGCATCAGATCTAGCTAGACATGCACGATACCAAATCTAACCAAAATAAATAAGATTTTTACAAAAGGCGGCTAATAAAGTTAGCCAGAACTTTATGTCCACACAGAACTAGCTCAATGTCATCTCAAAGAAAAATACAAAATTTTAAAATATATATACTCGTACATTTAAATTTGTTCAAAACGCTCTTGTTTCCTATAATTCCATGATATTAATGCATAAGTATGGTGGCTGCCTTGTGCCATTCGTGTTTTCGCCCCGCGACCCGCCAAGCGAAAAGTCGAAAATTAACAAGTTAAAATGGCGGGGGCGCGGAGCGAAAACACGCTAATTAGCGAGGGCGCGGGGCGAAGTTTGATAAATAAAACTTCGTCCCGTGAGGGCGCGGAGCGAGATTTAAGAAATAAAACGGCAGGGTCGCGGGACGAAAAAACACTAATAAGCGGAGGGCGCGCGGCGAAGTTTGGGGTCGCGGGACGAAAACACGCTAATTAGCGAGGGTGCGGGGCGAAGTTTAATAAATAAAACTTCGTACCGCGAGGGCGCGGAGCGAGATTTAAGAATAAAACGGCGGGGTCGCGGGACGAAAACACGCTAATTAGCGGGCGCGCGGGGCGAAGTTTAATAAATAGAGGATATTCAAGTTTTTTCTATAAATACATGATTTATTTTCATCAAGTGGTATGAAAATAAATATTTCATGAGTGGCGGTAGCCACGAGTGAAATATGGTAATTTTCATGCCACAAGATGAAAATAAATCATTTATTTATAGAAAAAACTTGAATTTTCTGTTTATTAAATACATTTTTCTCTTTTTTTGCGATAAAATTTGAAACACTTTCCCTTAAATTTTGTGTACTGGCAGAATTTAAAAGAAAGTAGTCCGGCGAGACACCAGTGAAAATACGGAAAATATGTTTCACTGCAGTGGAAAATAAATTTTTACAGTGAAAATACGGAAAACGAAAATATGCATTTTATTTCATCAATATTTCTCAATATTTCATTTATAAGTATATAATAAATAAAACTTCGTACCGCGAGGGCGCGGAGCGAGATTTAAGAATAAAACGGCGGGGTCGCGGGACGAAAACACGCTAATTAGCGGGCGCGCGGGGCGAAGTTTAATAAATAAAACTTCGCCGCGCGCCCCAAATATAGCGGGTTTCGTCCCGCGACCCCGCCAAGCGAAAAGTCGAAATTAACAAGTTAAAATGGTAGGGGCGCGGAGCGTAAACACGCTAATTAGCGGGGGCGTTAATTAGCGTGTTTTCGCTCCGCGCCCCCGCCATTTTAACTCTTAAATCTCGTCCCGCACCATCGCGGGGCGAAGTTTTATTTACTAGTATTTAACTTCGCCCCGCGGCCTCGCTAATTAGCGTGTTTTCGTCCCGCGACCCCGCCGTTTTAACTTGTTAATTTTCGACTTTTCGCTTGGGGGGGGGGGGTCGCGGGGCGAAAACACGAATGGCACAAATCAGCCACCATATATAAGTCTCTTTTCATGGAATTATAGACAGTTGCACGTCCATTATTTGTATACGGAGATAAAAACCCCATATTGTCTTTTCCATTTGAAAAAAAAAAAACGGAAATAAAAATGTTTTGCAACAAAGCAAGACATTTAAAATAGGCCACGAAGTGTAAATCTGATGTATGTGAATGTTTTATAATTATGTACTTTTATTGTCATGACGACTCGCAAAATAAATCATTATTATGTCATAATAATTATGGTCTTAGTCAAAGAGTCTGAATTAAGTAAGTTGGTGAATTTCCTTGGAACTTGAAAATTAAACGATCTTTAATATTTTTTATCTATCAAATTTTGATCGGTTTAATACATGCTTTGGATACGTTGAACTTAATTTCAATTGGCGAAGTATCGTACATTTTGACGTTACGATAGTCTTTAAATGAGATGATATACAATACTTTTTAATAGTGGCACCAGAAGACAAATACTGTCGAATGCTCTTGATCTTAAAATAGTTAAGCAAAGCAGTTCCACTTTTTCGTTTGATATGCTCTTTAAATTAGTTAAAGAGTAGTCTAAGAATTCAGCAAGATATCTTATACAATCAGAGTTTCTGTGATAGTACGCACGTAATGGAATTTTCCTGCCATAACGCTTCCCTTTAATTTCAACAACAGCGCAGATCTAAACAGACATTCATTTTATTCGGCTCTTCTAAAGGTATGCAGTGCCCTTTGCAGATATCATCACAATCAGCTGTTGGATATTACGTAGTGCCATTTAGTAGAAAAGGGCTTTTTTCAGATATAAGCTTTAGCAAAATAGGCCCAACATTTTGGAATAAAAATGTATCCTGGTCCAAGAAGAAGACTTTTAAAATCAATGGCGAATTCTA